GCTCTCTTGTCTCTAGCAGGTCCTTCGTTCAGTCACACACACCATCCCTTGTGCACTGCTCCAGCACTCCTCTTCCTTGCACGAAGCTAGTCATAGCGCTCCGCAGAGTCGCGGTGGGGGCTTGGTACGCCGGGCACACCGTCCGTTCCAGCGCACCAGTGTTCCTCTCTCTCCCCCACCAGTCGGTCCGATGGTGGGCTGTGTACGCCTAGCACGCCGTTTCCCCCAAAGAAAAAAAAAAACCCCCGTGCACTCGGCTGGACCAGACTATATCCCCCAGTGGTGCTGGCCGTTCACAGGTCAATCTCCGCAGCGTCCTTCGGTCCCTTTTTCTTTTGAAAAAAAAGAAAAAAAAGCCCGGTACTTTCGGTGCCATCCTTACCAGGCCCTTCGAGCCAGGTCCTATTTTTCCCCTGGTTGGTGCCAAGGGTGGCATAAGTCTGTCCACGAGATATCAAAGCAAGTGGTCCCGGTAATAGTGTGAGCAGCCCTGGGTCTTCGAGTCACAATGCTAGGGTCTGTTAGACCACTTCCCGAATCAACAACCGTAGTTGCGTCACCGCCGAACCAGTCACCGTACCGAAGTAGCAAGCCTGATTCACAAGGGCCCGCGCCGAGTCATAGCAGTTTTGATCATAATAGCACACTAACCAAACCAAAGGGCGTATGTGCCGTACCCGTGGTTATTTTTTGACCCGCAGCAGCCCCGAATCAGATCAGAACCCTCTTCAAGTAGCCCCATGTGCTGTACCGACCCCAACCGGCCATCATAGGTTTCCGTCTCAGTGGCCATACCAGTGCTGCCCCAGTGATCGTACCGTTGGAATCAACACTGTGCCCCAGATAAATGAACCACACCAACCTTGATGTGGATCCGAGCCCCATACTCCGTCATGCCAAGGGATACCTTCGACTCATAGGAGCCTGTTCCAATGCTGCTCTGGTGGCTGTTTCGTCTCAGCTTGAACTGCGGCAGCCTCAAACCCGCCTGGAGTGCCACGCCGGGAAGCACCAACTTCAAAAGAAAAAAAACAGCCGTACCATGCCAATGCCGAAACAGGACCGAACCTGAGAATATCTTACCATGTCGATGCTGTCCCAATTCCAAACATGTAACGTGTCGAATATCGAAGAATGCCACGGCGCCGTAATAGTTCCGAACCTGCCCGAACCAGACTGTCGCGCCCAAATCGAACCAAAGGATAGCTCCCAGGCGTGTGCCACATTGATGTCGGGGCAATACCGTGCATGAAATGCGCCAAGTACCATACAATGTCTGAACCCYGTAATAGTATCGAGCCTCCCGATCCACATGAACAACATAGCGGTAACGCCCCACATCCGTCCATCCCGCACTTACAGTACGCTAGTTACGGGGAGTTAGGGAGATTTAGGCAAGCCATGGGTACAAATCCCAATCATCACAGTATAGCTAGAATCATGAGAGTTTGAATAAATGATTAATCCGGGGGTAATTCCGATCGCGGATACTTGGAGCCAGACTACGCCAGTCAGCTTATAATCTCGGCTTTCCTCCCATCTTTTCTTATTTTTATTGTCAGAAAAATCAATAATTTAGGGTGTTCTTATCAAAAGTTAATCATCGAAGATTTTAAATAAATCAATGAGTATTTCGC